CACACTCTCGTAAAAATAAGAACTATAACACACATAATGGAACACGAAAAGAAAACTGGAAATTTCTTTGAATGTTCTGCAAAAGCAGATCTCTTTATCTCCAATAACCCGGTTTGTAAAGATATTTATTACATGAATTTAATAATGGGGAGTGAATATGGTTGCGTAGACTTCCGCGGCCGGAGTTTGTGTTGTCTGGGCTATCCGGGACGAACCGCGTCACTGACATGGTGGCTAACATTTCGGCCAGCGTGTTTTGGCCGTCCTCAGAGCGCACTGCTCCTCAGCAGTACTAGCCTACTCAACAGTACGCTCTGAGGAAGGTCACAACACACTGGCCGAAATGTTAGCCACTATGTCAGTGACGCGGCTCGTCCCGGATAGCCCAGACAACGAAATGGGGAGTGAAAATTGCTCCGAAGAGTTTTATATATTAACGTGAAAATACATCAGCATCACATTTTTAGAAGAACAGAGTAAACATCAAATATAATTATTTTTGTCCTATCTGTGAATTCTGCAAAGCACTAGCAAAATATACTTTAGATGTTTTAACGGGAGATAACGGGTTTAAAAAATTAAAACACTACTATTGAGTATCTTATAATAAATAAGAAGGCTATAGGTTCCAATGGCACTGATTTTGCAATTACGTGAACTTTTTCGGGTACTCAGGCCTAAGAATTACATTCATTTTTCGTCTCAACACATTCATAATTTAACAGTATATCGATCCACGCCGTATTAAATGAGGAAATACGCAGAATACGCGATGTGTTGCAATACTTCATCAAAGCGAAAGTTAGGAAAAACATTTGTTATCAAATAGTGATAGTTCTTCTTTTGTTTGTTTTTTGCTAATAAATTTTAAAATGCATTAGTGCGCTGTAGCTTTACAACCAAAAACTGTGGACGAGTGAAAAGTGGTGGAGAAAAATGGGTCCAACCGCTGGGACCCGAGGAATTGTATCGTCGCTACAATTGTCGCCGAAAAAATGGGAGTGACTAATACACCCTACCCAACACATCGCGAGTGTTGAAGATTGCATTACAAGGTGTAAGGAGATTTATCAGCAAACGACTTTCACGTCTCAGTCTCTCGTCTGTCAAAGTGTTCGTCATCGTGGACATTTTTTCCAGTTTGAAGGCATCCGAACTGCATCAGTAGAAGAATTTCTTTAACACACCATGTGAATGTCATTTGAAGAAGGCACCATGATTTGCAACAATTATTGTTTAAAATATATTGGTTTTCTGAGCGAAATAATATGAGCTGTATAGTCAAAAGTATATATAATCATAGACACACTCCTTTTGTCACTGTTGCTTTGAACAAACATAATGTTTTTCTTTTCTCTAAGAGAAAATTATGAAAGAAACCGTTAAAACAAAAGTGCATCAATAAATAAAACTTGCATCCGCATGAAAGATTTTTTCAGTGCTCCGCGATTAAAATGTAGAGTAGTTTAAGAAATTTTAAAGCAGTCGTTTATTCGGTTATACGATGTTACACGGATGGGCTAACAATTTACTGCCGTGTGAAAAATACCGTGAACATCATTTTACAAATTCATATTTATTACGTGAAGATAACAAAACATATATACAAATCCCCACGGCTGTGTAACGAATAGTACTTGCACGTGCTCATATAGAGTTCCATTGGAATAACATAAACATTCTCTCCTCTTTGTGATGTTTTTCCATCACATTTTCACGATCGTGCGTCAGCAGAAAAGCAAATTGCGTTTGTAAAAGCAGCAAATAATTGAAAAAGACGTATCGCGTGCGTTTACTTCGATGTCGCAGCCACACACGCATCGCCGCTGCTCAGGAGGCCGTGCGTCGCCCGCGCTGTGGGGTGGGAGGTGTGGAAGGAACGCAGAGGAAGAGGCCAGCGCCGGGGCGACGTCGCCGCCCACCTCTCCTCTTCGGGAAGGGACAGCGGTGGGAGTGGGAGTGGGAGTGGAGGCGGGGCCGGGAGGAGTAACGGGATGAGGTCGAGTATCGGCTCTCATTCTCGGGAAAGGCAGCTCGGTGAACATGAACGTGGAAGGGAAAGGGACGGGCAGAAATCTCGAAGAGGTTGACGGGGACCGAAACAAGGGAAAGTAGGACACAATTTATTGGCTGATTGTTAATTTTTTCCGGGGATGAACTCCTGTGCCTTTTATCCCGTTTGCGTTGAGCGTGTTTCCTTGGAAGCTGTGTTGTATCCCAGACGAACATCGCCCCAGTCGGAGCAATCTCTACGCAGACGGCAGGTCACCGGTCATATTTGGTACTTCAGTGCATGTACGTGTAAATGTGTGTGTGAAAGGAGATAGAAGAGAAAAGGTACAGTACCGGCATTCGCTAGGTATTAACAGTAAAAATACAGAAAACTACCGATTGGAGAAGTCATTTGGTTGAATCGTGATGTAGACTGAATTCGACCTGGATGCGTAGCCAAAGTCGAAAATCCATCGTCGTGTTGAACTTTAGAACCTCTAGGACATTAACCGCCCAGAGGGAACGGAAGTATGTCATTGGGAAATTGCAGCTCTCGGGAAGAGTGACGGTAGGAGCACGGAAGAGGGGGGCAAGGGTGGGGACACGGAGGAGGGAGAGAAGACACCGAGAAGGGGTATGGAGGACATAAAGAAATGGAGAAGGGATAGATGTGCGGAGATCATTATAAGATGTTCAAATCACGTGGGACAGGCGCACGAAGACTAGAAACAGAGAAAGGGAAGCTACGTCCGATAAGTGATATGATGAAACATTAGATGGGGCAAGAAACGTAACAAAAGTCTGGAGAATCAGTCAGAGACGTAAAACAGCCTGAAACATTCGGTCCGATTCAAATTTAGTGTGCCCTCAAGGTCAGAAACTGGAAGAAGGGAGGAACCCTGACATCCAAATGGGAATTTTTTATGTCGTAAATTTTTGGTTTTGAAACTCTTGATTGGGTAATTGGATGACAATGTCCCACTCTTCTTTCAGCTCACGACCTTCTGTAGACACATACTTAAATCGCACAATATACGGCAAAGGGGTTGAAAACAGCGGCAGGGTAGGGAACTCTCGGAGCGCAGACGCGGGATCGGGCGGGAGCCCGAGGAGCGAGGCGGGGGCGGGG